ACCAGGCGAGTGCGGTCCCACTGAGGTGGATGACAGAGGAAAGGCGGTGGAGGAGGATGGCGTGATTGACTGTATCGAACACGGCGGAGAGGTCCAGAAGGATAAGGAGGCAGAGGGAGCCCTGGTCACAGATAGAGAGGATGTCGTTTGCGATTTTCACAGGCGCAGTCTCTGAACTGTGGGCAGAGCGGAAACCGGACTGGAGGGGTTCGAAGAGGGAGTGGGAGGAGAGGTGTGCACGAAGCTACCCTGCGTAAGGGGCACTATATAAATATAAGCTGTTGTTGTTGCAGTTGAGAGATTGATTTACATTTACTCATTTTTCACTTGTTATGTATGTTCTATGACTTAAGAACAACAAGTACAATACATATACAAATTTACATTTATATAGCATCTTTCACATCGCAAGGATGTCCCAAGGTGCTCAACAAACCTGGCTTAGCACACGAGCTGGTGGGAGGAGCTGAGAGGGCTGGGGAAGGGAAAGATGACTGAAAGCACAATCAAAGAAGTAGAACAACAACATTTATATAGCTCCCTTAACACAGCAATTATCTCTCAAAGTGCTGCACAATGGCAGGGTTGGGCACTATGCGAGAGAGGGTGGGGGAGAAGGGGGAGGTGACATAGACCAGCAAAAGAGGTAAGTTTTAAGGAGGGATTTAAAGATACATAAAGAGGGGGAGAGGCGGATAGAGACAGGGAGTTCCAGAGGTTAGGATTGAAGTGACCGAAGGCATATACTTACTTCCAAAAACGCTTTGTTTCTCCTCTATGTTCTTTACACTTTATTTAGTGTTGTAGACCTGATTTGGTAGTTGAAAAATAATTCTTAAAACGAAATGCAGTGTGACCTAAAAATAAATAGCTACTTTTCTAATTAAAGCAGCTCATTTTGTTGGGTATGAATACTATAACGGAGGGTGGTGAGAGAGATGCTTTTGTTTCACTAAGTGCATTAATTTCAGCACTCATTAGCTCAACACGTGTAATGATGCAGTATTGTAGAGATACTGTTTATGAAGGGAAAGGTTTAGTTAAAGAATAATCATTTTAAATGGCCAATACAAAACCATTTGGAAGGAGAAATCCAGATCACAGGTGAAAGTTAATCAAGCTTGATCTGAATGTAATGGTCATAAAGTAGTAGAATAAAGAATTATATTGTGTACCAAAAAACTCAGCAACAATTTTGGAACTACCTTACATTTGTATTTTTTGACAGTGCCACAAGCTTGGAATTTGAATTGACTGATCCAGTCTTCCTAATCCATGCAGTGGTTTGAAGTTGTCTAATACAATATAATCCTCGTCTGTGACTTGAACACCAAGAATTATTTATCATTAAAATTCAGAATCCTGTTGATTAAAATCACCTTACAGGGGCCATTAGCAAAGCAAATTTGCGACCTCATAAATATTGTTTCTCCTGCAGGTTCGCTCCTCTCAAAATCTGATTGAGTACCAATGAAATACTCCTTAAAATAAACAATGCACAGCCAAAGGAGTTGCTCATTATTACATTATTACTGCATTATTACTGCAGAAGAGTCTAGAAGTATGACCCAGGAAAGAGTGTAAATGGGAATTTCTCATCATACTGACTACTAAACTGTTTTAGGTTGCTGTTTGGCTAAAATCTGCATTCTTGATAAGCTGATGAGATTTTCTCCTCCCTTTGATTGAGATTGGCATTGATTTGGGGAAAATCTGTGGATTTTGACCTTCTTTGCCAGATTGTGGCCTGTGAGTGAGAGAGAAGCTAAAGAAGGGAGGGGATTTTAACCACGAACCTGTCACCGTTTACATGGCAAAAAGTGAGCTGAATTAATTTCCAGAGATTTTTTTTTTCTTCCCACAGAAGCTAGTAATTTTATTTTCAGGAATAATGTGGTTCTTTATGCTGAACTTGAACAGGTAAAGCTTCTATCCTAGGATCAAAGCGATGTGGAGTGCAATATATATTTTACATTTCTAATCCCATTGCATTAGAACCATGAGAAAGATGCAAGAAGCTGCATTTTTGTAACACCTTATGTTGAAGATTTTAAAGAACTTTGCCTACGAAAACAATAACCAAACTAGAGAATAATCATCTGCAAATGTGGCAGCCATTTGTACCAGCAAAGTGCCACAAACAGCCATGGCCAACTTATTTGTAGGATTTCTGGCTGTTACACTGGGAGAAACTCCCTTCATTTTTCAAATAGCAACATGGAATTTTTAACATTCACTGGAACAGATAGACAGGAGAAAAGTCAATATCTTGCTCCCAGTGCTGGGAGAAATGCAGTGCTTCCCGGTACTGAACTGGAGAGTCAGACGAGAGTATAAACTCAAATCCTGATAGAGAACTAGAACTCACAACCTTGAAAAAGGAAAAAATTAATCAAAAGAAACTAAAGTGTGGTTTTGGATATGCTCAGCTTGCCACTTGTGACTGACTCACTGCAATTTGTTTTCTTTTAATGGTATTATAGAACCGGTCACAGGTCCAAGTAAAATAAATAATCCTTGTATCTGTTATTGCGGCTTTCACATCAGGAGGAAGTCTCAAAGCGCTTCAAAGAATTCAATGTAAAGTTTAATGATTGTGTATTTGTAGGTGAATGTGACAGTCAATATGCCCACTGCAATGTCTCACAAACAGCCATGAAGTGAATGACCAATTTTGAGGGATTTGGGGAGAAATTCATTTCTCTTTTGAAATAGTGCCTTGGAATCTTTCATCTCTGAATAGGCAGACGGTGCCTTGGTTTAAAGTCTCATCTGAATGATGGTACCTCCAACAATGCAGTGTTTCCCAACAGTATTGGAGTGTCAGCCGAGACTGTGAAGTCAAAGGCACAACATGGAGCTTGAAGCCATTTTTTTTTGTGGTGTCAGCCAGGTGTCTAATACGTGCGGAAAGCCATCACCATGCTTAAGAGTATCCAAACCAAACTTGAGATTTCCATGCATCCCACTTACATAAGGAAATCCAAGAGATAGATTGTTGGAATGGAATTCATACTCTCTCCCTAGATGGATGCATCCTGCTTACCTAATTCTGGAAAGTATTAGGCGCAGGTCGGCAAGAGTCAAGACTCGGGGACCCCAGAATATATGTTGGGATACTGCTGGAGTCTAGCCAGCTAAAACCTCATAGCTTGCCATTGATATTGCTATCTGGCAACCTTTCCCGCTGCTTTCCAGCTAGGACCACCCTACCCATTACAGCTTTGGCTTTCAGGGTTAATAGGAGCTGAGTGGGATGACTTCCTGCCACCGGTGACTGGTCTTTCCTTCCAGATCCTGCCGATGAGCCAGGCTGGTTGTGCTTTCATCAAAACTGCGGATCCGCCTGGCACAGGACCTGGACTACTGAGACCGCCACAGAGGTCTGTCATATCCTTACATCCGACATTCCGTTGCCGGGCATGACACGTTGGAGCCAGTTCAGCTCTAAGGAGACCTCACTTATCACCTCCCAAGGAGACTTGAAACCACAAACATATAATTCATAGGCGAGATTATCGTCAACTGAGCCAGGCTGACACCTTATAAGATGAAACACTGAAAGTTTCTCAGCCATCAAAAGATTACCCTGGAGCCTTTAAGGGACCACAGGGGTGAGAAGCCATCATTGATTCTCACCTGCCGCATATCTACTGCTGCCTCTATGCAAATATTCTGGAGTTTTTATATGGGGACCTGAGTTTATTTGCATAGCACTTTCCCTCAAGAAGTTTGCTAGGTTAGCAACTTGTGGAAGCAATGAGTGCTATGTTAAATCAGTTAGCAAACACTTGGTTTCAATGTCTCTACAAAGTAAAGTATGAATAATTCAAACTGATTGTAGAAGGCAAAATTTAACCCTGGCACTGCTGGATGGTCTGGACAATTCGTATCCTTACACCAGGCCTTTATTGGAATTTTCAGCTGACATATGGTGATGCTAACATCAAACCTATTATCGGAGGAACAGAGGTAAGATAATATTTGAGATGATTAGTCACGGTAATATTAATCCTATACAACACTTAAATAATTAACAACTGGGACTTTGTATAGTCTCCTTCAAGTGTTTTGAGATGTCCTCCTGGCTTGAATGGAGCTATATAAATGTAAATTCTGTTGTATTGTTTTCCTGCAGGATGGAGGTCTTGAAGCACTAGACAAAGGCCATAGCACAGGGGCAACAGCATTTGAGGTAGTTATGAAAGGCTTGTAACAATATAGGATTTTGAAGGAGGTGGAAAGGGATGCAAGATTTGGGGGAGATAAGTTTGAGGGGAGTGCGGAGGATTGTGGCTGAAGGTTTGGTGACCATAGTCAGAGGAACAGAGGGCAGGGACAGAATAGTGCTAGAGGAGATTGGAGAAGTAGGGAGGGCAAGATCATGAGGGGATGTGAAAAATCAGGAAGATGATTTTGAAGTTGAATCTCTGGGGAACTGGAACCCAGTGGAGATTAGGGAGAAAAACTTAATAACAATGTTGACATTTATAGTTTCTTCTCCCCTGTTGCCTATTCTTTATCCTGCTTTTATAATTTAATGTATTCTATCTATTCTACCCAGTCGTAATTTGGATAGATTGTATGTTTCATGTTAGAGGAAAGGTTTGTGGAAACTATATATTCTGCATTAGAATTTGGACAGTGGCCTATGCTCAAAGAAACTGGGGAATGAAAAAAAAGTCAGGCAGTGGCAAGCAAGCCATATGCAGCCACAGCAGTTTGCCATGGCATTTAACAGGATTTCCACAGCATGATGCCTATCTCATGACAAAGATCTGGCACCACAATGATCCAATAAATGAGACCTTATTGACTTTAGAGAGCAATGTGGAGGACTCGAGGCTTAGAGGACATAAAGCTTGTATGACATAGTTGCAGAGTTTTTCTGCTCTGTTTTTATAACTCAAAGGTCATATCAAATTCTTGTCTAGAACAGGCAAAAGGATTCTAGGACATCTACAGATTGTTGATTATTTTGCTCTGGGATAAGTGCAGCAGGTCAGGGTTGCTGGGCTTAACACCAAACTGCAAAGAGTGTAATCGACTGCTAGATTTGCACTGGAGCCTTGACTTGATAAAGCAACAACTTGCAAAATTGTATTTTCTATTCATCTGACGTGACATCATGTACATCTGGAACAGGTAGGACTTAACTGGAACATTACATGTTATGGGCTTTGCCAGAGGGGGTGGTATTTCTGAATTTCAATAGACTTGTCGGAAAAGAGCCATTTCATTTTAAAACTAATATAACCTTGTACTGGAACTATTATTGTCTAGCTCGAAACATGGAAGTTCTTTACAGTACAATGCAGAATTGAAAACACCAGCTGTCTCCTTATTCAGGAGTGATGAACATTTGTTGCCTGGAACAATTACACCGGACCTACATTATTCAGCTGAGAGAAGTTGAAGTGATAAGTCCTGACTTTATTGGCATGCCTTTGCTTCCAGCCTTCTGATATATTTGTAGTCTATTTTGTCCATCTACTTCGAAGCAGACGCAATTGAAAGCCCTTAAGCTATTTGTAGTTTTTAGCTTGCAAGTAACAATATTCCCATCGACAAGTCTTCACAACACGGGGTTCTGACAGCTTGTACAGCAGCTTTACTTTTTCCACTGAGACGTTGATGGACAGATTGAATCTGCTGTAATTTTGTAATGCATGTTGTTCGGAACAGTTTGAATAGCATGATCATCACACAAATATTTCTAGAGGAAGATCCCACTGTTGAAACCATTCAAGGCTGTACATGTTATGAAATCACAAAGAATTCCATCAGCTTGCTATTATGAAATCAGCTGCAAAGCAGAACCTTTGGACTGACCCCAGTCCTTTCGGCATGGTTTTAAAATTGGTATTGAGTGGAGGTGTGGAAATAACATTGTGAAAGTCTTCCCTTTCATTTTAACAATAAATTTACAAATAGTCAGTTAAATTATGACGTTTGGATTTAAGTTTCTTGTTTAAGTGCCTGTGGTGTTAAAAAGAACCTCTAATGACATAGTGGAAATCTTCCTTGTACCTCAGTGATGAAACTAGTTGTGTGGTTCCATTGATTTTTATGTGTGTCTCTAGTGCCCTGTCTGATAATGAGGGTTGTTTTATTGCAAAGTCTACATATTGCGCATTTATTCAGCAGATCACAACAGAACGTAAGAGACTAACATACCAGTATACAGTAAGGCTAATATCTTCTCATCAGACTAACACATGGTTTACTCTTTAGCTAATAACCCATGTGAATCAGTCTTCTAAAAGTTCAAAAATATGTCCCAATTTGAATAACTGCAGGACTGCAACATGCCCATCAATTCTGCCTTTCAGCACTTGTTGGTATTGGAGAGCTATCTGCTACTATTTGAGTTTTGAAGTGATTTTCTGAAAGTTCTAGATGGCTAAAAAAAAACAAGAGTGACTCAGTGACCACAATTTACAATCAAATGTGAATAAAAGATTTGTATTCCATTTATAATGTGCCAGAAATGAAATGTGGAAGAAACATTAAAGAACGTATCTGTTCAAATCAACACGATATATCAATTATCTGGTGCGGTGTTATCCATTATTACTTAATCTGCATGAATTATTCAAAAGTATAGTTTGTATATTTCTGGAAATGATTGAATACACCAGTTATTCACAGCAGTGGATCTTCACCATCAGTAGAAATAAAAGATGAGTTGGTAATTCGCTCAAGTCTTTAACAGAGGACAAGCTGCTTCATCCTATCAGGCTGGGCTGGAGATGAGGCCAAATCAGACGTATTCTAACTAGCCCACTGGAACACTGCTACTTGTTGACTCAATATTTGTATAAGACAAAGCATGGTTTCATCTACTTCATAAATGTTCCTTATCTGATCTCACTTCTAATAGGTTTAGCTGTAATTTTATTTAATCACCTTGATGAATATCTAGCTTCATGATAATAAATGCTTCAGGTCAGTTATCGGGCAGTTGGTTGTATTGCAGCATGCCACATTTATTCATCACATTCATTGGCCAGGATTATCATACATCAATAACAAGAATGTGCTACCAGCTCATTATTAAAAGTTGAATAAAAATTCACAAGGAGTGAAATGTCTGGCAATTACTAACCTGATGTTTCCCGTCCCACTCACTCCATCCTCAGGAAAATGATTTTGCCTGAGGATTTCTTCCCTTTGTTCCTGCTCTGGGTCACATGGATCAGCATTTGAGTTCAGCTAAAAATGGGATTCTGAGTTAAATTCAGACACTGTAAAATTCCAAACAGCACTGAAATCCTGTGTGCTTCCAGGATTTTAAATCAAAGTGTGTCTGTGTTCCTGAAATACAACTTGGCGCCAGAATGATATGAAGATTTTTTGTGTGTGTGTGGTTTTGGGGAAGTGGGGTGGGGCGGACGGCATGAGTGCCAGAGCTATTCTTTACTGTGTTTCATAACTTGTACTATGTTGCCACATTGAATAATTTATTATTATTAATATGAAATACATTCTCACCAGTTCATTTTCCAATTAAAATTAATTAATGATTACTAAGAAAATGATAATGTGTTATATAATAGATTGAGTAAGTTAAACTGAAATAAAATAAAAAGAAAGACCTTGATCTTATCTGTCGCTGCTTTCTCTGGAATCCTTGCATTTGATTTAGCGCTTTTCACATCTTCTAGATGTCTCAAAGCGCTTCATAGAATAAACTATAAAGTGAATTGATTGTATTCTTTGTGGGCGAAACGTAGCAACCAGTAGCCACAACAGTGTCCCACAAACAGACATGGATTGAGTGACCAAATTATTATTGGGTTTTTTTCTTGAGGGATTATTATCAGATGTGTGGAATAACGAAAATAGCCCAAGATTTTGCCTTGCCGGAAATCAAACACAGATCTCTTGCTTGTGAGGTGAGTGCTCTAACTACTGAGCTACAGGACTCCTATAATTATATCTTATGTAGAAATGTAGTGGCTAAGACAATTTTTCAAAGACATTATAGGACACTAATTCTAATAATAATAATTCTTGCATTTGTTATAGCGCTTTATCATGTCTTTGAGTTGTCTCAAAGCGCTTCACAGAATACACAGTAAAGTATATTGACTATATATTTTGTAGGCGAAATGCGGTAGCCAATTGCGCACAGCAGTGTCCCACAAACAGTCGTGGATTGAGTGACCAAATTATTGTTATTATTTTTTAAGGGATTATTAGTCCAAAAAAGAGATCCTCCAGTCGATTAACAATCAGGTTCCTACTTACTGCTAGGTAAACAGAGGCGTATAGAGTAAAGAAGCCTGCTCAACGTTTTTCCCTGCCCGGGAATCAAACCCAGGTCCTCCCGCTTGCGGGGCAAGTGTTCTAACCACTCAGCTACAGGACTCCATAAATGCAAAAAATATTATGATTACTATAACTGTACAAGATATTTCAACTTTGGCCCAGCTAAGATACAGGTTCACCAAGTCCAGTAAACTGGGTAGAACAGTTGGGATGCTGTAATACTCCATGGTTTCAAATGATCTTAAGACCATTATGATATATGATATAGCGTCTTATCACGACTTCGAGACATCTCAAAGCTCTTCTGTAATATACTGTAAACATGTACCAGGTTTATACTTTTCCAATATCTGGATCTGAGTTGAAGTTTTACATCAATATCTTTCCAGTTTGTCTTTGGATGGGATTGTGCAGATTTTTTTGTGTAACATTTGGATTTGGCTAAATATTGATTAAGGATGAATTAGTTAACAATGATTAATCATTTAGTGTAGGTATCAAGCTCGCAGACCAGGAGGCCTAGAATGGAACCTGTCAATTGCCAAAATATACGACACAGAATGCAATTTAACAACAACTTGCATTTACATAGCACCCATCATGCTTAATAACATCTCAGAATACTTAATAGTGTGGAGTGACTTAACAATAATACTTCCCTCACACACTATGGTGTTAGTCTGGCTCAGTTGGTAGCACTCTCACCTCTGAATTAGAAGGAAGTGGGTTCAAGCTCCATGTCAGGACTTAGAATTCACATAGTCTAGACTGACACTTCTATGCAGTAATTGGGTGGGTGGGGGTGCTGCATTGTTGGAGGTGCCGTTCTTTGGTTGAGATGTTAAACCAAGATCACACCTGCCTCTTTAGGTGGGCTTTAAATATTAAATATTTTATTCGGGGAGGGGTGGGGGGGAGGAATTGCAAAATTCATTTTTACAATAACTCTTCAAATGAATCAAATGTGTCTAGGAATACGAACATTACCATTGTGACCCATTAAGTATAGATTAATGTTGTTACTATGTTTAATATAAAATCCTGCCTTACTAATAACGTGTTTTTCAAAAATACACAAATAATGGCGTGAAAAGGGCTGTATTTCTAAAAGGAGTATATAGTTTGAGGGATTTACCTGGTATAATAACCTATGGAGTAAAATTCTATGGAGTAAAATTCCAACTTGGTCTCAACTTACTCTATTAACTTTTCAGAGTGCCCCAAATTTGGCAAAATGCTGATTTCAGTCTCAACTTTGAAGCCAGATTTTTTACAGAAAGCAACTACAAAAAAAACTTCAAAATTAAGGTTGTATTTAAGAATTTGCCAAAATTCTGGATGCCATGAAATGCTACATAAATAAAGTAAATCTAGGCCTAGGTAGAATTTTACCCCAATGGTAGTGGTGTGACAAAATCACCTTTAAGACAACATAAATCCATGACAGTCATGTCAGAAGCAGTTTAGGTGAGTGTGACTGCAAATTGCAGTTCTCAGATTTGCCAGTTCTATTTGAATGAAGGGTGCTGTTGCAGTGAGTGTGAATTTTGTTTGGCATGAGCAAGAAACACAGGTACAGTGCATTAGGGAATAATTGGACCCTGGGGTGTTTGATAAAGTTCATTTGCAGAACTGATTCTAAAATTGGATTCTTCCTATGACCAATTATATGGGGTCGATCAGCGAATTACTGATTCTAGATTGGTAACATGGGATGTGGGATATATTGCCTTTAGCTATAGGTACGTGATAGACTTCAATGTCATTATTACCTGGTTAAAACTGTAGTCAATAATAATATGATTCTTGTATATGATATCGTGCCTTATCAGTTCATTGAAACTCCTCAAAGAAAGTCACAGGATTTTACTGTGGAGTGGAGTGACTGTATTTGTAGGTAGTTCAACAAGCCTTTATCAATTTGATTTATAGATCAAATCGTTTTTCAGTTTTGCTTTATCCTGCACTGAGCTATGAACTTGTTTTTTAGGGTCAAAGAAGAACAAAAACCTCAACAGCAACAGTAAGTAGTAATCTCCGAATGTAGTGAGCTTGAAAACTTTTACCTTGCAGTGTTTTGCCCCTGTGCTTTCTGCACCTTCTGGGTATTAGCTTTTCCTGATACCAAGTTGGTTGCAACTGTAGTGCATCATCTTGCTTCCTAACTGGCTGTAAGAGAGCTGCCTCCAGCTTCTTACATCATCCACATCCAGACTGGTTGTAGCTTTCCTTTGCTCCCTGCATTTGGATTAGTTAAATGTAAGCTAATATAATATTAGCCGACATCCTTACTGGCTGGATCTGATTGCAACCCTCATTCGCATTGGCTGAAGCTTTTATTCCTTGCCTGTGTGTTAGGTGTAAAGACACTGAACGCCAAATTTAATTGATTTTATTGCGTTGTTCAGTCACATTATTTGCTTATTTAAACAGGTGGCTTCCCTTTAGTGGGATCACTGAACTGGTAAATAACGTTCTTCAGCCACAACAAAAACAACAAAATGAGAAGGAATCCCAGGCGTAAGTAAGCTGCTGTATATAGTTTGAATGTGGTGCTTTAACATTTCTGTCAAATCGGGCAGGATGTGACATTGCAAGTTCACAACTGGTCACATATAGAGTATAGAGTATAGCTATTGTATCTTGTTTGTACGCTCTGTGTGCACTTTATGTAAAATAACTACTTTCTCTGAATATAATTTTACCTTTCACTATTGTTGATTGGCTTCTTAGAATTATCACACAACAAAAATGAGAAAATACAGCAGGTCAATGTTCTATTCGTGTACCTTAGAATATACAGTAGAACAATAGTATTCCTCTAGTTCATAGGTTGATCGTTGTTCATTCAAGAAGTCAACTCCTTTTGTACAATGTGGGATCTAATACGGCACCTTCGCAAACTGAATTTGTTGGGTTATTTGAGATTTCTGGTTTGTGGATTTTGTAAATTGCAAATCCCAAGTCACTGAGGTCCAGAAAAGGGCCTGCGAGCAAAACTCTGTTTTTTCTCTAAAAATTAGCGACTTAGGATTCACGTTTCATCAATCGTGAAATTCGTAAACCAGACGTATTGATTAACACAATGAATCCAGTTTGTGAATATCACAAAATTAGACCTCATTCTCAATCTCATTTATCAAAACTCCTCATAATCCTCATGATCCAAATTTCTCACTTTTTACCAATTCCTTTCACCTTTTCCTTTCTCTCATTACTTTAGATACTCAATAGCGTTAGTGAAGGGAATTTTAATCAATGAAGATCACAGTAGCTGCATTGAAATATATGCTGGTGATTAGAATATTCAGGCAGCCAACTTCAAAATATTTCTCAGGTTTGTTTTTCAGTAATGTGCCCATCATACTTTGGCGTGCATTTTATTGCTGTAAATGTAGCTGCTGTCAATGTAATTTTGTGTACCGTCTATTATTGTTCTCAAATATTATTAGAGTTAATAAATCATGCATGTTAATAGATCAGTTCAAAATTCACTTGTTTTAACTTCAAAGCACTCTAGTGAAGAAATTCTGTTTTTTAATATCTTTGTGAATAAATTCCCAGTTTCTTCCAAAAATGGAACATAGCCAGCAAATAAAATCCACAGTATGTATTATAATAGCTGCCCTAGAATTATCACAAGGCTATAATCTCATTGATGGACTCAGATATAAATTTAAACCATTTATTTAAGTGTTGATTCTCCAGCCTAATGCATCATCCGAATTCTTTTGATTAGATCACTTTTGTGCAATCTCTGCTATGCATCTGCTATTTTTTGTTGAATAATTAATTAATTGAACTGTCAATTATCCGATAAAGCTAAGTGATTTTCTTGTCTCTAAAACAGTCTAATGCTCCAAATGTGCCCTCTTTATTACATTTTATCACAAATATAATTTATAAACTAAATTATAGTTCCTTAAATCAGTAACTGATCCATGCAGATTATTTGTGCTGAGGTAGAGGCACTTGACTGGGGTATCACTGAGGTACCAAGTTTCTCCTCAGTACTGGGGGTTGAGGAAAGGAAAGGCATCCCAGCCGGGGATTGCCTGAGATGGTTTGAAAAGAGACATCCCAGAGGGGCTCTTATAGAGGTATATATCATTTTAAATGGGATTGAAAACATAAAGCCAGAATACTTTTGAATGCACTGAGACAGCAGAACAGGAGGACACATGTTTAGGATCGCAAAAGGCAATTTCAGGAGAGACACCAGGCACTATTTTTTTATTCAGAGGGTAGGTAATTCATGGCTGGAATAGATGACCAGAATGTGTGTTTGACTCATGTTTGACTGGACTCATTTAAAAAAAACCTGATACTACGACGTGACGTATTCTGGAAGAATGAGATCAAATGGGCTGAAGGGTTTTCTTACTCTAAACCTCTCTTGCAATCTTGTGACAATCAAATAGTCAGCACTTGCTGTCGTGGATTACACATGTGGAATGTCACTTGGTAAGGAAACAGGAGTACCACTGCCTTTTGGAAGGAAAAGGGATTCAAATGTCTTTCACTGGAATGGAGAAGTTTCCCAAAATTTGTAAAGTGCTCTGCATTTTTTAGACAAATATTTCCGCACATTTCTATTGGCCCAGGTCATCACCAAGGGTTAGAATATCAACACTTACGAAGACATTCTTTTTTAGTTAAAAATAACCACAGATTTATTTCTGAAACAAGTGATAGAGAAATAATTCTCTAGAACTCAGGATGGATAATAATAATAATCCTTACATTTGATATAGCGCAATGTCCCACAAACAGTCGTAGATTGAAAATAACCAATTTATTATCGTTTTTTTTGTTTTTTGGAGAGATTATTATTAGGCGTCTGGAATAAGGAAACTTGCCCAAGGTTTCGCCCTCTGCCTGGAATTGAACTCGGGTCTCTCGCTTGCAAAGCGAGTGCTCTAACCACTGAGCTACAGGATCACCTTCGCCACCCCCCCACACACATTTTTCTTACAGGATAAAAAGGAGCACGTAGTCTATGCTAATTATTGAAACACAAAACATATACTTCCCCAATAATGTTTGTTTCCCGAAATGTCATGAAAGTTCAAGGACCCTACAGTACTTTGAAAAAAAAGTCATGCTTCAATAATTTAAATTGGTCATAATTTATTTTGATGACCGATGCTTTAAGCAACTAAAGTTAATTTTGGTTAATCATTTCCTTCATCCGAGAAGCAGAGCAGTCTTGACTGTAGTCTTTGCCATATCATTGACATTTTTATTTTGTGGGGTTGGATATGGTCCCTCCTAGCGTGCCATATTGTGATCTTTCGGCCTGAGATAAAGCACTCCAATTAAAAAAATTCTGTATATAGTTGGTCTATCCAGGAAATTATTAGGGGAATGGTTTCCAGGCTCTGATCTGAATAGCAATTCTACGGTTGATTTCTCAAGATTCCGGGTTACCCAACAACTTTATCTTGCATTACCTGTAAATAATTGATAAGTGATCTATTTCACAACTTGGCTAGTGGTCAACACTCTTGCACCTCACTACATGTAGATACTTGGAAATTACAGCACAGAACAGGGCCATTTGGAACATAAACCCATGCTAGAGTTGATACTTTCCTCAAATATCAATTGCCTGCTAACTCCTCATATCCTTTGATATTCTAGTTCAAATGTTTATCCGTTTTCCATCTTGTATAGTCTGCAATGTGCAATTAACCTATTTTTGCTGAATTCCCACGTGTTTTGATTCAGTGTTGCCCAATATTTCAGCTCATATCTCTGCCACTCAACAATTTGGTGCTAAGCTTATCCAATATCACTGCATTTATATGTCGTCTTGGGGTGTGCTCCTCGTTGTTTAGTAATGTTGGAGAATTTTATATTCCGTGCGTGTTGAGAACTGTCAATGTAAGCATGGAATGGAGGGTTCACGAAGGTTAGTGACCAGCGAATATTAGACTGGGGTGTCTCTTGCTATCTCTTATTTGTGATCAGTCTAACAAATGCTTCCAACTAATTCCATGCCTTAATTTGGCCTTAAAATGTAACAAATTCTAAATTTGAAAAATCAAATGCTATTAACCATTTAAAACAATGAAACGCATTTTCATCCTTTAATTTAGCATTCTCTTAAAATGTCATTTGGTGTAGAAAATATTTTTTTTGACCTTTTTAAATTCTAATGTTACCATTGTGTTGGCAAGTAACAAGAAAGAGTATTACTGACATTACCTGTGAATTGGTTAATGATTAAATTGGTTAATAAGTGTGAAAAATGTTTAAGATCCTTGCAATGCATTGAATAGATTGGATTAAGATCAAAATGAGTCTCTGTTTTCATCAAATTGCAAATTGTTTCTTTCCCTCCTCGTCCCCAAACAAATGTTGCCATTATGAACACTTCACACACAAATCCCTTGAATCTTTGAGTTTATTTACAAAGCTGGGCTGACCTTGTGAATACTTCTAAAGAGGTGAATGTTGTGGTGGAAAATGTGATTATTAGGCATGTGTGTTTCTGTATCTGGAATTATTCCAAATGTTTCACTCACCCTCAATTACCCATAGGTTCTTACATAATTTGCTCCATTTTGATGTATCACTTTGCATCTAAGAACCATGCTTGATGTTTGTACATACATTTGTGAATAATTTATTCTGATATTGAAAATGTTTAAGGTATACAACTTTGACCTACATAGATTTATACTTTGTGCCAATTGTGATGGCAGTTATTCACTGTGAACTTATGTCCACATTAATATTGTTCTGAGATATCCAAGAATGGAAAATTGCAATACTTTTGTTCAGGTTGAATTGGAATCTAAGATATCTGAGCCTTAAAAGCATTTTGTATATCTTGGGACAAACATTTATTGAGGATAAGTGGAATGTTGAGACAAAATGTTGTTTACACAAGTTGAATGAGGACAAGTCACCTTAAGCCTCTCTGCACACCATACCATCCATTAGGAATATACCCAAACATACAAGTATTTACCTGAATTGAAGTAAAATTTGAATATTTGGAAAAGTTCCCATTTTGGCTCCATTGGTTCTTTTAAAGAAGAGATCCCTGTATAGGGGACAAAATGCATCTTGTCGTTCACACATTCTATTCTGTGGTGTCGATGTTTCATGCCTCTAAAGATGGTAGGTGTCTGTGCTGGGAGAGATTGCAGAAGCAAAGGTAGGTGTCCTTTCTTTTTTAAATGTATTGTTCAATTGCTGTTGACGTTTCCTTATTTTTTTCCATGATCGTTTCCTTTGACACCGTGTTGTATTTGATCTTTTACAATCTGATGCATGCCTGAGTGTTTGGCGGGTTATGTGTTAGGTACTGTATGCATTCAATGGTGGCATATTGGGAGTAAATGTGTGCATCTTTTTGGTGATTTAATAGGGACTGTGCATTCAATTGCTTGTATAACAGCAGGATAAGAGGAATAGGTGCAAGATTCTGCTTGTTGAGAATGGGGTGTTTTTTGTTTTCGATCAGCCTAATGGGCAGATTGTGTAGTCCAGTCATTGAGAAGAATGAA